CAGCGATGCTCGTTTCCCCTGCTCTGGAGTGCCACAGTGGCCGGCAGAGCTGGAGCCAGGCCCTGGGCGAGCCTGGGGGTCCACGGCTCAGAAGCACGCAGGCAGCTTTCTGGAAGAACGTAATGATTTCTGAACGAACAGCACCAAAACTGAGCCTTTTAAGAAAATGCTTTTATTTTTTGTTGAGTTGGCATGTTCCAGCAGAAATATTTTTTCCAATCAGTTAATCATTTTTAAGACTGAGCTGCTGCCAGCTACTCTAGAGAGGAATAGCCAGGATAGTAGGACTATGGTCCTTCTGCGTACAATTACCATGGCTTTCCTAACACTACAGGCAACAGACCCCAGTTGGGAAGAAACAGGAGAACTCACGTACCATCATGTGTTTGTGTATCTCCAGCTCGAAGAGGCAAACCAAGACTCTCTTCCCTCAGAGTGACAATTCTGGGTAACACTTTTTAGGTGCTCACAGGCCTGGTGTGGAAAAGGGCTTTTTTCCTGGTTGTATTTGAAAGTTTCCTTCTTAGTCTCCAGGCCAGTTCACTGTCCAAACCCCCAACCTAACCCCAAAGAAATCTCATCAGTTAAGGCAGTCCTTTCTCAAGCTTTCCAGTTTGCAAGAAAGAAGACAGCGTTTGTAGCACCCCACTGCAATCCTCCGCTGCTCTCAGATGATGCTGGAGGACACTGGAATCCTTTGCTACATTAGGTGGAATACACTGAAATGGCTTTCCAGGATGTGCACAGATAAAGACAAAAAGCAAACTTCAGATGGTGAAAATGAGTATCACTCCACCAGGAAAGGCAGAACACGTTTCACGCGCCAGCCACATGTATCATTTAACACACAGTTTACATACTTCTCACAGTCACACCTTTGGCTCCAATGGAGATGTTCCTACTTAAAGCAGAGTATGTTTGCTTCCGACTCCTCTTTGTAGGTAAAAACAGGTTAGAAATGAATAGAATACGGGCAGGAACATGACTAGCCAGTAGAGCTTCAACTGAACAGGAGCTTCTCACTTCATAAATTACAGGTGCTGGCAGTAACTCTCCCTGACTTTTTCCCCCCATGCCCCAACACCCCCGCGACTGCTTCAAGAGTGGGAGTGTTGGCAAACTGACATCTTCCAGGGTTGTGAAGACAAACTAGTCAGGAAATGAAGCGGGGGGATGTCTGTACCATCAATCCCATTAAAAGTTCAACCTGCTACCTAAGTACACATTTAACATGTGAATAAAATATCTGGGGCTTTTCTATTATTAGTTTCCTCATGAGTGGATGAATATATTAAAGCTTATAAGGCTCTGAGAGATTCTGTGATGGATGCTGCTCAAGGAGTGCTGCAGCACACACAGACAGAAAATCTGCATTTATGGAAGTTTTTTGTAAGAACTGTAAAGACCCCCCTCGGTTAATGACATTGTTCAATCTTCTTACATTTCTTCGTAGATTCAGGGTAGAAAAGTATTCCCTTCCCCCTTCGGTGCTTGTTGCTAGAGGCATCCTGATAATCAGACTAATCTTGGGACCAATTTTCAACTCCTAACAGCTCAGTAAACTAAAATGCTTAGGCAATTTATTCTCTGTATATTGTCAGCTAGGTAACACTTGATTTCTCATTCCATGACTGCATTTTATTGTTTTAAACTGAAATCCAGCATGTGTGTTTCCAACAGATTATCTCCATAATCACTTTCTTTTTGCTATGGAAATGATCTGAAAATTGTTCTTTGATATGAGAGAAGAGTTCACAAGGCCACACTGTACAAAAGCTCGAATCGTGCAATTATCATTTGTAAAGAGAAACTGTTATCAAAGTAACTGCAGGGGACACCTCCAGGACTCCTCTTAGAGTCAGGAAATTTGAAACATATATTTCTCTAACATGAATTTCACTCCAAACCCTTCTGAATAATTCATGAGAGCTGATTGAATGTCATAGTTAAGTCTGGCACTCAGGACGGAGATTGGGGGCTTCTGCTGCAGATGGAGGATTTCGCCAGTTCCTTTGGGGTAGGGGGGACAGAGCTGGGGTCTCATCACTGCGAGGGTTTTGCTACCCAGGTGCCTTTGAATTGGGAAAGTCCCTTCCCCGTGAGGAGCAGGCTTGCAGGGAAAGGCTGGGGTGGAGGCGAGTACCTTCCTTACGTCTGTCTCGGGCTGCCTGCTGGGGAGGCAGGAAGGCAAAGGGGAGCGGGAGCCCCCGTCCCCCTGCCTCACTGCCCCCACCAGTGCTAACGGCAATCAGAACCAGAGCCTCTGCTTCTCTTAAGCAGCATCAAATTACCCCCACTGGCGGATAACAGATGTTATCTGTTCTTTAACGGAAGAAGGCACCTTGAGATGGGAAAACGCCATTTTGTTCTTCATTCACTAAATGAGAGGAGCTATAAATTGCTGGAAAATGGTAGTTTACAAAGCACTAAAAGGAAGACCTGCAGTTTGGCATGTGACCAATACCGAGAGCGAGTCTGGTTTTAACGATCATCTTGTGTGTCTACAGGCAGGCAAATTAGCTGAAGGGATGCTTGTTGCTTGTACTTCTACTTGTAAGAGTAAAGGGGTCAGAGGCAGCGGCGCCCTGAGGGCTCGCTTCACCAGCACGACTGCTGCTGCCAAATTCCCGCTCTCTCCCAACCTAGGATGAGCCGGAGAACTAAATCCATGAGGGAGTCCCCTCCCCGGGCTCTGGGGACTTTCTGAGCAGAGCTGACTTCCGTGAACTCAGGATTTCACCCCTACAGGGGCCTGCTACGTTACTGTGCTAAAACTATCCAGGACTCACATTCCCATTACGCAGTATAGCCTGAAGACTAAATGCCGTTTGATGTTGCCGGATTTTGGAAGAGAACACGGGGAAATGGAAAACAACCATTTTATAGGACTTATCAGCATTTAATCCCAAAGCACTTTTCTAATGTCAGGTGCTCCTTCTTTTTACAGACAGCAAAACTAAGGCATATCTATTTTGACTGAGGTCAGAGAGTGGCAAAATACTCAGATTTAGTTAATTCCTAGAGGCCAGATTCCTCCCCTGTAAGAACAGGGTGCTGATGCACAGAACCACGCTGCCAAGTCGCTGAGCAGGGCTGAGCGTAATTGTGTTTGGTTTTCATAATACAACAGGCTATGACGCTGTCGCTGATAACTTAGATGTAAAACTGATGAGTTGCAATACAAAACGACGACAGTTTTATCCTTGGCAATCTCATTTTGCTGAAATGCAACAACCATGGATGCTTGTTAATTATTCTCTTTGTATTACGCAAGACTTTATACTTAAATAGGAGTCGTGTGGTTATTACTTACAGATATTCAAAAGCCAAAAAGTTGTCTTTAAGACACCTGAGGAACAGGAAAACACACGACTGTGAAGTGAGAAGTTGGTCCTAACACATCTTGTTCTAAAGCCTCTGTATTTTTCAAATTTTAATCATTGCCTAGTGCTATAGATGACACCTACTGGGCAAATGAAGGCCTGGCACATCCAGCATTTCACAGCCTTCTGAATACTTGGTTATTTCCTGAAATTGCTGTCAAGAATGAATCCTCTCTACCCACTGCAATAAGATTTTGTTGCACCCTTTATGCAGGCAGGCAGTTTGTAACTGCTAAGAGGAAGGCCAGAAGTACAAACCCTCAGCTTGCTAGAACCTACAGGATAAAAAGTGGCTCTGTGTTTGCAGAGGAGGGGATGCCCAAATTCCCCTCCTGAGACTATTACTTTTACTGACATCTAAATAGTCCTTCTGTTTTGTAAGCTTTGTACAGAAGCAGGAAGACCAGAGCATTAGGGAAAATACTGCTTACCGTTTTTTAACCACTGGCTAATTTTTTGCTTTGCAGGCAACTATAATGATAACTTTGTTACACCACCCCATTACCAATCAGTGTTAAACAATAAAATAGCAGTGTGCTGGAGTTCATCAAATACAAACGATATTAATGGCATAGTTAGAAAGAAAACACTGACAACTCTCCCTTTATGTTGGCTAATTATTCACATTGGGACTAACAATAGACTTTCAATGAATAAAAATGATATTAGGTATATTATCCAAGTTGTTGCTCTTACTGCTTTCTAGAGAAACTGATCTGAAGAGCAGATTTCTTTCAACTCAAACTGCAAAAGCATGCAACCCAAACATCAGGGGTACTCTTCTCAAAGTTAGTCTACATTCTGTATTATGTACTCACTGATATAACTCCACTGATGAAAATTCCAAGTATTTAGAGAAAAAAACCATAAGATTATTGCTCCCCATTTGAACTTATAATAAGAAAAAAAACTTCCACACACTTTGCATGTGCAACTACAGTGATTAACTGCATATATTCGATATTTGCAAGCATAATTAGTTAGCTGTCTGCACAACTCCAATTACCCAGGAAACACTTTATTCTCCATGGTAATTGCAAACCTGATGTGCCACAACTGCCCACACCTTTTCGTGTAAAACAAGACACTGAAATATATGGAAAAATAGTTTAGAAATTTTAGTATCTTAAAAATTGATTCCATCTTTTATTAACTTAATAGGGAAATTTCTAACAAACTTGTATTCAAATAAAAAAAAATAAAAAAAGAAGAAACCTGTACATTCAGAAGTGGTCCAGTGGTCCAGCTCTGCATGGCCCCAGAAAATAATGCCACATAGTAAGGTCTCCAGATCCCCAAAGAAATGACAGACTGGCACATAGTGTCATGATTTTTTTTTAGCATACCATTTTTTGTCAGCTGCTTAAGTTTAATAAGGGGATTCATGCTGACCTGTTGGTCTTTGAATGTTCACTTACATATTCTCCCCCATGGGATGAGACTATAGGGGGCAGTGTGCTTCTCCCAACATCTTTGGTATTTGGAAAGCTATAGGAACTTTGCTCTGTATGGAAAGTTTTCTTCGCAGGAGAGAGCCCTGAATATAAAGCTCCCACCAGTTGAGGCACGGAGACCTTTCCCTCAGGCAGCCATACTCCATTTTCCCTTCTGGGAGCATTAAGGTAAGATCTCACCAGGCACTGTTCGGGAGTTGAATATATTAATGTAGAAATCTATCAGCAGTTCAGTGAAGAGATTCAGAGGTACCAGAGCACTCAGGGAAGCTGTTCCTTTCGACGGCCAGATCAAATTCAAGCCAAAGACACAGGCCAGGCTGGATGCTGTCATTCTGTTATATATGCTCTCCTGTGAAACCTGGAAAAACATAAACATGAATATATATATGCAGACACGTGCCCCAGAGAGCAAGAGACAAGACACCATCCTGTATTGAGGATGAACCAATAATGGGAGGAGACCCTGGCCACAGGTGCATCACTGGCTTCCTAACAGCCTCAGGGCTGACTATGCAGCCTAGAGCTATGGGGCCACTGGAGCCTGTGTCCCTCAAGTACGAGAGAAGATGTCAGTAAGTCAAGCAAAAAGGATGAGTTGTTTCCTTATGCTAGAAAAATTAATTGTTTTCAATCCCTCTATATGGAATCTATTGTTATCTCTGCTGGGGGGGCAGGGAAGGACAGCATGAACAAACAGCTATCCCATCTGCTTCGGTACTAACTCCTCTATAGAATAAACCTCGAGGACTTCTCAAGTTGTTTGCAAGGCTTTAGAAGGATTTTTTTTTTCCTCCCACTGATGCATGACTTCACTTCCAAGTACCTCCACAGCCATCCAATTCCTCTGAAGCAATGGAGGTGAAAATGGGCTGTAGATAAAATCCACAGCACTGAAATCTTCTCTGCACCTGGATGATGTCTCCTACTTATATCTGTGGATGTGAGCCCAGAACTGGGTAGCAGGAATATTTTTTTTCTCTGTGTGAGCTTGGCAGGGAATTTGTTTTGCTCTCCTGCATTGCATGGCTGGTATCTAAAGCCCAATATGGTCTGGGTGTCCTGTCTGACAAGTTCTGTGTTATTGTAAAGAGCCAGCAAGCTGAAGGTGCTCTTGGTTCCTCCTGACCTAGGTAATTCAGACAGTTCTTCTCAGGCTGATGGTTGCAGTTGTTGATCAGTAAACTGTCATAGGAAGACCATGCAGTCACAAACTGCAATGTACGGGTTACTCTGAAGCTGTCATCTCAGAACAGAACAAGGAATTGTTGGGCAAAATGTTCCCTGTATTCTTCCTGCTACAATTTCAGGTGGAACAGGAAAGCAAAAATTCTGCTTCTCAGTGTTTCTCCATTTCTGCCTTGCCATAAAGCCTCCTGAAAAGGCAGCTCTGTAGTACTACGAAAAGCCGAAGGGCACTAGAGGAAAATCTAAGAAACATTATGATCATGTGAACACTTCTTAGCATATGCATAAAGTCCAGTTGCCCTCTGCCTGGTAACACAGGTTTCATTCCCCTCTATCTCCTACAGCACAGTCCCACCCTCCTTGGTGTTTTACCTAGCAAGGAGCCTATTTGCTCAGCCATATGGGGATGCAACGCGCTTTAGACGTGCACAGGATGGAAGTGTTTTCCTTGGGGGACATGAAGAAGCACTTATGTGGCCAAAACCATAACATTTTCTTCCTAACCATGTTAGTTTTTCCAATAATAGGTACTATTTTTCCCTCCAATCTTTGCCTCACCCTCCCGGGACATCAAAGCTACCGTGATGCTACTTCTGCTACAAATATTAAAGGCTTCAATTGTTTTTAAGGTCACGAAGCAGGGCTGGATAAAGGAAGGAGGTATTAATAAGGAAATACTGGTGCCATACCTACCTTTTCAAAGGATTGACTTCACAATTTGAGAATAAAAAGTCATCAGATTAAACGGCAATGCCTGCTTCATGACCTTATGCAAAACCCACATCATTCTCTCTAGAGTACAAACCACGTATAGCCTGCTGACCTTCACATACTGCTCTCAATGCACTATTTAACTATACAGAAAAACCAATAAGCCCATCTCGTTCATTTAATCTGCTTCAGATGACATCAGCTCAAATAAGAGTTCATTATACTACAGCAATGTAGCAAAAGCTAAACTACTACCAAAATAACTGATGAGGGAAAACAATTAGGACAATGTTAACAGGAGTACCCTGTTAGCAGGGAGAAATAGACCTGGGTATTACCCTGAAGGTGGCTGGAAAATGAAGCTGGCATTTGGATACTGCTAACTATAACAAGGTTAGGGACTGCGTTCTGGCCCTGGGGTCAAGTTGCTCATACTGGCTGCATCTACACTGTGTAATGTTGTACTGTGAAACCCCTGTGGATCGAGGACAAAATATTTTTTGGTGTTTCTTTCAGTTGAAAGTCTCTAAAATAATGTGAGAGCTACAGCCCATCACATCATTGTGTTTTCTATAGCATGAAACCAAAGATATGTGCTGTATATCCTAAGGCAGGTACCTTAAGTGTATACAGAAGCACGTGGTATAGTACTGGAGGACAGTGGAGGGTGGCAGGATCCAAACCTGTTGCAGTTCTCTTCCCCTGGTTTTTGGGAGTGCTCCCTGACACACTCAATCCCACAAGCTGTGTACAGGTGCTGTCTTCAAGCGATAGCTGAAACACACCCACCTTAACCTAGCCACTGCCTTCGAAGGCCAATGTTTCAGCCCAAAGCAACACCACTGCGACTTGCTGGTAGAGCTAGATTTTTTTTTTTTTTTTCTTTAGGCCAACTATTTCAAAGAATGTTTCTAAGATGAAACCATCTCTTTCCACCTGCCACCACCCTGTGAACACTTCAAGGAGACAGTCAATGTTGAAATGATCAACAAAAATACCCATGACACAGCCTCTCCCCTGAGAGAGAAAATCCTTAAGAAAAATGAACCAGTGATTATATCATCTGAGGCAGAACTACACTAAGCCTTATCTCTGAGTCATCAATCAGGCTGACACTTAGGCATTCAAGGGAGACACAGCATGTTGCTTCACTCCAAAATGCACAGCAATCCCTTCCTCAGCAGATCCAAGAAGTGGCATGCAACTGAATCCAACTCTGTCTCCACAGGAATCGTTGCTGGCTCATCAAGAGCTGCAAGCAAGGAAGCGTCGTCACACCAGTGGTAATGGCTTTATTCCTCCCCGATGGGATCAGGCTTCGCACTGTCTCAACCCCCTCACTCCTCCAATGCCAGATTTCTTTCTTGAACGACACGAACACATCCACTTCATCTACAGCGCTATCATGAGCAGCTGATGTTTTCTTCCAACACTAGACCATGTATGGGCAGCATGCAGTCAGCCAACCTCTTCATAGGATACCCCTCTAAATAACTGCACCCCAAAGCTACGTTCTATCTAAGAAATACAAATGACATCTTTAGCATTCGGACTAAACCCCCTGACTCCTTCTCCTCTCTGTTTCAAGTGAAAATACACTTGCTCTGTCAATTTCACAAGCTAATAAAAGACAATTCTCCAAGGACCTAGCGCCACATCAACAAATGCAAAATATATATCTTCACTATCCCAGAATAAACACCCAGCTCCCCCACCAAAATCGTGACGATTTTTGGATTCCACATACTTCCATCCCAGCACCCTCATGGATACCGCAGGAGTGAAAGCAGACAGCCACTACACTGCCTAATGAACTTAAATAGTGAAATACAGAGAGTAGAAACAGCCAATTACCATCTTGTTTTAAAAATATAAGGACATCACCATCTCTTTGGCTTCTCAGTCGCAATGCTGAAAGGAACTCCACAAAACATTTTCAAAAGAAAATTACTAGATATTAAAACGCCTCCACAAACTGACTGGAAATATAAGTTTCTATCCCCCACTCTCAGCTACCTTGCAGACGTGCCAACTGCTCCACGAGGCTTAGTCATCTAATCCTTCCCAACATGTCCTGTCATTTCCAGCCACCCCCAAGCGTTGCTGGTGCTAATTACACTTTTCAATTGGACAAGCGATTGAGACAAAACATTAATTCAGAGCATTTTTTTTCCAGCTTGGGCTTGGCTTTGACTTTGCTGCTTCAGTTACTGCTCTGAAGCATTGCTCATGGGCCCCAAAACCTTGTCAATTTTCTCTAGTTGGTTCAAGTCTGATGTTTTGAATTTGGCGGGTTTTTGCAATGGTTCTTTCAGTCAAGTCAGCCACCCTTCCCCTGCATCAGGCATGACTGCAGGGACAGAAATAAGCACCAGAGAGGGAAAGTGTGTAAGCGCAGAGAGGGGGCTCTATCAGCTGGTACCAAAACCAAAGACATGGTTATAAAAACACAATCTAGATGATATTGCCTCTACGGACTTTCCTGATCATCTAGCCTTAGACTGTCATGGAAAACTACAATTATAGTTTTCTACTAAATGGTTTCTGGCTTCAGAACTGGGTAACTGTAGCCCTCAGCGTGCTTTGCCAAGTAATTTGCAAGGAGACTTCTTTGAGCCCTTTAAGTTTGCATGTGCATTCATAAATCCACTTCACTGCATGTGCAACACAGGGCTGGTGGAACACAAACGCTTGTTTGTGCACACTCATCTCTTGTGAGATCAGCTGAGCGAGCACGGATATTTTTAAAGACATAACTCAGGGACTGACTTGTGAAAACCAGTCTTTGTTTTCCCTCTTGCTCCTGGTTGCGCAGTGCTGCCTAGGGACCTCAGTCCACTGCAGCTCCAAGGGGACCCTGCAAATCCCTCTCTGGCAGCCAGATGCACTGCAAGGGGGAGATGGACAGCTTGTACCTTTCACAGCACGCTGGGCTCATTACTTGCAAAATCACTCCTAATCTAAGGTTAAAGAATTTGGACCTATTTTTGAAATTTGAGTCTTTTACTTCTGTAGGAGTTGCACTGTGTTGCACCCTTGGACTAGAAGGAGCTGTTTCATTAAGTAAAGGGGTTGAGACTGCAGAGAAAATGTTTTTTTTTTTTTTTTCCTTCTTCCACAAGCCTGTATCAAACCTGGAGTGTTCAAAACCTGTATCTAGTGATTACAATTCATGCCACTTCATGAAATTACCACAAGTACCTCTTGCACTACTCAAGGCTGAGCTCATGGAAGAATTAAATTGCCTCTTACATGTAAGAAGGTTGATGCTTGCAGGTAAAAACTAGGATTATTGGTAAAGTGCTCTGTTAAAGTTTGAATTGTGGCAGCTTGTGCAGCACACCGATCTGCAATGAATAGAAATCTCTAGCTCCTAGATTGTTTCATGTTCCCTTGACCTTTCCAAATGCAAATATTCCCTGAGACATTAAGGATGAGAAGCCATAGATCAGCAAAAATTGCAGATCTGAGCACTAGTATCAACTTGATGCTGTGCTTTACATAACAAGGCATACTCAAAAATAATGCTATGTTCTGTTGCCCAATTACAGAAAACACTATGTAGTACTTTTGCACACCTCATTAACACCTCAAGTGCTCAGCTCTTAAGAAGTGCGTTGAGATGGTGCATCTATTATTGGAACAAAGTCACTTACACGATTCATAACACTGAGGATCAGTTGCTAAAATAATAGCAAATGGCATGAGGATTTCCTTAATAGCATTAGAGTTCAGCTAAGCAACAGTAAACGAACACATGGGTATTACAGAAACCCTGCAAGTGCTGTCTGAGTGAGGGTCATATCAACGTGTTTCCTTTAATCTTGCTTTTCTGTAGTGTTTTGATAGAAAAAGGGAATAAATGTACTTGTTTCTGAAATATGCTGCTGGCTAGAATAGGGCAAACAAGATTGTGGCCCAAGAACAGTTACTGAGGGCTAATTCCTCCACTGGTGAAAATCAGCATCGTTGCACATATATGATTGCTTTGGTGGGCTCTGAAGGCTAGATCACTTTAATTAGGTGACAACTACACAATGATCCTCAATTTTAGGCACCTGGGTTTGAAAATCCAATCTGGAAAAGGCAATGCATTGGATAAGGCAGAAGGAAGAGAAATTAACACTCCTACTACTGTCTTTTCCTGCACATAAACTGGCAACCAAAGGACGTTACTAGGCTAACTGTAGAACTATTGGTAATGGATGTTCCCCAAACCCTCACACTTGTGGGGTTTCCAAAAACAGGTTAAAAAACATCAGCAAATCAAAAAGTAGGACAAAAGACACACAATCTCATTTATCCTGAAGCATACCAAAAATCCTTGCAAAATGGCATGGTCAAAGTTTTTCATTTAACACTGTAGTAAATTACAGGATGAAAGGCTATTTTAAACACGAAAATGTTATTTTAAAGATTTAATATAAAATATTTTGCTGATTGTTGTTCTAAAGCTCATTAATATTTCTATCATTTTCTAAAATGACATTAATTTATTTGGTGTTTTAGTTGCTCAAGATTTAAACTTTGGAGAAAAAAAAGTGATTTCACCCAGCTTTTCTCTGGCACCAAAAATTACACAACCACTATTTTCAGGCCTTTTCTCACTGCAAAATAGGAAAAAAACAAAAACTAAATCAATAAAAACATACATTTCTGAATGTGGAGTTGGAGGACAGAACTTTTAAATATTCCAGTACAGGCACAGTTCCATTTAAATTCACACAGTAGTTTTCATTACATCTAAAGAATTGCATGGTGAAGGGACAACCAGGCCATTGTTTTGCACTGACTTTTATTAGAAATGGCGGGTTCTGCATCCTGAGTTCACTCAGTGGGCAAGTATTGCACCAGCACCTCACCATACTTTAAAAATTCTTCAGTTTTATTTTCTGTGGAGATTTTCAATGTTGAACTAACAAGAACAGATTTAGAAACAAAAGACTGGCACTACTTTGGCAATTTTGCCTATACTCACCATATGGAGAAAGCATATCAGGTATTTCAGAACAACGTAATTGTGTTCAGGAAGTCCTTGAATGATTTGCTTGCATCTGGTGACTCGTAAACTGCTCTCCACACCTGCAATGTCAAAGTCAGTCTTAACTCCAAAACATCAAATATTACCAAGAAATAATACCTTATTTGTATCTGCTGGAATTACTTTAGGTATCCATCTGTAAAACTGACCACAAAATTCAGTTCTACTAACCTCCACGACCACAGTAACAGTTAGGGTTATCCCTCTGAATGACCCTATCATATTTTGTATGATCATGTATCTGGCTAAGACTAACTTCCAGAGTATTTTCTCAATTCAGTGAAATAGCCAAAATAATTTCTTTGCTAGAAAGGACTTTCAAAGGTCTTGATTTGAATCCCATTATCTCTCCACACACTGAATCCAGACATCTACTTTTTATGCTCTGATTTTATTCTTGCTGAGACATAGTCCTGCCCAAAATGCTCTTTTGGCACTCTAATAACTTTAAAAACACTTTTGTGATTCCGCAGGACACTCTTCTGTCCTGGCAGAAATTTATGAGGTTTATTAACTTTATTAAATTTAAGCAGGTTTATTAACTCATTTCTACAGATGGGCAAAACCAGAATTGGACCCTCAAACTCCTTGCATCATCTAGACAGTCTGGGTGAGAATTACTATAACACTGGATAATATTTCAAATATTGTTCCAAGTGACTTCCACCACCACCAC